ACAGAACTAGAGGTAACGGCCACAAACTGAAGCACCAAAAGTTCCACAAGAACTTAAGGAAAAATTTCTTGACAGTGAGGGTGACAGAGCACTGGAACAGGCTGCCCAGAGAGGTTGTGGAGTCTCCTTCTCTGGAGATCTTCAAAAGTCCTGTGCCACGTGCTGTAGGTGACCCTGCGTGTGCAAGGGGGTTGGACTAGATGACCCCTAGAGGTCCCTTCCAACCTTAAGCATTCTATGATTCTATGAATAGTACATCTTGCAAGGTTAGAGATGATATTCAAATGATGACAAGGTATATCTGTTAAAATTGGTAATACATACATTGCTAGTTTTAATCACAACTGAAAACTGGAAGCAAGAACTCTGATTAGAGTTTTTTGTTCTAATTTTATTTTTCCTTTATATTTTTAATTATTTTTCTAAAGAAAAGTTGAAACTCGTTAGGCGGCAGTCATTCAGATGTGTTTATTTCCAGTTGAGTAAAGCTTTGGCCTTACATTTTTGTGCTTTTTTGACTAATTCAGAAGATAAGTTTTCCTATACATACATATTCCATCCTTTATGTAGTAATTTAAATTGTTTGAGATTCTAAATTATATTATTGCATTACCTTAGAATATGATGCATGGAATATTTCTTTTTACTAATGTATTATTCTCTTTTTAACATTTTTATTAGTATAACTGGAAACAGGACTCAGTAGTAGTACAGAGAAACTCTTTTGATTAATAACTAGCATGCTTGACTCATGAAGAAAAGGTTTATAAAAGGACGATTTGCACTTAAAACTCTTCCTGATTATCAGGTCCTTCAAGATCTTCTAAATGCAAAATCTTCTCTTGATATGTTTAAGAAAATAGTATTTTAAAATTTCCTGCCTTTTCAGAATTTAAGTATTTATTTAAATTTAATCAAATGTATGTGGAGTTTCCCAAGAATATTTTTTTGCTATCAAACAGGAAAGCAAAATATAAGAAATATAATTATTTCTTCTTCCAAAGTCTTTATGTGGTCCAGAAGAAAGAAATAGGAGAATGAAGACATAGTTCAAAAAATCGTGCTCAGAATAATCTGTTTAGTAGCTGTAAAAGATTGCCATACAACAGTCATTGCACAATGTCAGTAAAAACATGTTAGTCTGTAATGTGATAATAAGGGCTGGAAATACAGGAGAAACACACTGAATGGTTAATATTAATCCTTCAGTTCATGACGACAGATATGTATGCATGTTGCTTTTAATAACTGCAGGTGATGCATTAAGTTCATGTTGACCAGCTTTAAACCAGCATTTGAAAATGCTTTGATTCAGAGATAAAGAATGTCATTGTTGTCCAAAATGTTATTTGCTTTTCATCTACTAATCTTAAAATGAAAATATGTTGTTTATCTCTTGGGAATCTTTTACATAGGGAGAAATAGAGCAGAAAAATAAAAACAAACAAACAAAAACAGCAGACTTAGGAATGGCCACTTAATGTATAGAAGAATTAGGTTATAATTGAGCATAATGTAAGAAGTGAATCGACTTCTTCTTCAGTGATAGAAGAGAAGCCAGAATTTCCATCTGGCTTTCAGCTACAGGCGAACAATCACAGAGATTATGTTGCAGATTTTTTTGTTGACTATGAACGGTTTATCTACATTAGCATTATAGTTTGCATGAAGAATGCACTTTGAAAATGAATTTTCTGATCATTCCCACTTACACTGCTGTAGTTTGCCGAGTGCACAAACTGGATTATTTTCGGATGTAACTAAGCCAAAAGATGCACTCAGTAACTCAGCAAATATGCTTCCACCGCTTAGGGGCAGACAAGCCTGGCTGGAGCTAGTCCAAAGTAAAATCTCCTGAAATGGATCTTGAGTCCTAAGTGCTACATATTTCACTCCACAGAGCTGCTGATATTATTGTGTGGCATAACTCTGTGTGCTGATGTAGGCATAGTAAAAATTTCTATTGACTAAAGAATTATTGATTCTTGAAACTGTAGTCTTGCAACAGAACCAAAGAGTTTGCAGGAGGGAAGAGCATTCCCATGGCAAATAGTGTTCTATCTAATTTAATCTAATCTCTTTCTGAAGAGTAGAAATACCTTGGGAAGATACCCAAAATAAATTTACTGTTTCTATGAGCCAATAGACTACAGCTTAGAAGAACAAGTTGCTTCAGGGGAAAATTCCAGCTACATAGTCTTATTGGAACCTCTGTCTGATTCGCATGAATCTGAGTTTTATATCCTGTTGATCTCAGAGGATTGGAAAGATTCCAAGGGAGTTTGTTAGGAAAGTAAATGGCACTTAGTTTGAAGCTGGCACTCTAGTTATTGTTACTGATTGTTAAGGATGATGTTTAGAATACCGGAAGAGATGAGACTGAGAGAAGCACAGGGCAAAACTGCATCAGCTTGCAAGAGAAGGGCTTGAATTAAGATAGACAATAATATTTTCCTGAATTAATACGTCAGCATGAGACAGAAGACAAGGAAGTCTCTCTTAATTCCCAAGAGGTCAAGCAGCAAAAAGTTGTCACTGTTGTCAAGCTTGCTGTTAAGTGTATGTGCCGTATGTTTGTGTCAGTTGGCTTCTGTTCACTTTCTTATCCATAGAGAGCACTACTGATCCCTGCCCAGAAATCCCGGCATCTCATGCTCCACCACTACCTAGGCCTAAGCCTAAAACTAAAAAAGCTCTGCTACCACCAAAAAATGCTATTGCTGCTTCCGCCACTGCCAGCCATAAGAGTAACGATGCACCTCATGTTAAAAAAAAGGGAAAGGCTCCTGGTAAGCAGCCTCCTCTCCCACCTCCCAAGCCAACAAGCCACAGTGCAAATCGAGAAGCTGGTGAGTACTGCATAGGCAGTGCCCGATATGGTCGGTGCATGTGTGTGGGTGTGTGGCTTGGTCTTTTGAGAACTTTTGCTTTTGTAAATACCAATGTACAAAAGAGCATGCAACTGATGTCTTTTCATGAGCTCTCTACTGAGCTCTGGTTCTGCTGTCTGCAAGCACCCTAAGTAATGGACAGATCACTTTGCTATCTAGCAAACATACACACAAGACCAAGCACAGCAGAGACTACACTGTATTCCCAGTTGAAGTGTGATTATTGGCAATAAAATGACCCAGAGAGCTGTTAAAGAATCAGCAGGGGAAAAGAAAGCTGACTTCTGAAACCAAATGCATCTGGATTATCCCAAGGTAAAACTATTTGGCAAAATGGTATTGCCGTAAGCGTCTGCTGGAAACATCTATTCACTCAATAAATTCAGCAAGATTACAAGATCTTAAAGAGATCAAGGATAAAATCATGAATGCATCTTTAAAGACTATTGAGTACTTTATTTTAGCTGCAGAAGAAGATATAACTCATTAGAAATGGCCTGACTTCTGGGGATGACTGTTGGATTTCTATAATTCTAAATATGCACTGGAAATGGAAAATGCCCATCATCAGGTACATAGCAGATATCACTACAGTTTTTAACCAAAATTTAGCAGTGATGCTAAATGAGAGAGTTTGTAGGTAGCTAACTTCAAGATGCTGGTCTCCTCAAGTCTAAATGATTATATTTAGAGGATGATCGAAACGAGAACACCCAAATACAATTTAAACATCAATGGTGTTACAAGGAATGGACTGTGCACATGATTTGGCCAGCTTACACAAACCTTATGTTTTCAATTCTCTTTCGGTCTTTCAGAGTCAATTCCTCCAGCTTTTTCTCTAAGTATACATCTTTATAGCTTGTACATTTTGGCAAGTTTTGCATTTGAAGCACACAGAAAAGGACTGTTTGAAAAGATTTTGGGACTGCTAAAATTAAAATAATAACTTTGCCATAAAACAGCTATTAATTTGGTATTGCATCATTACTATATTAGCAGACCACAAGAATAAACATTTTGAAAACCCAGAATTTGCTGTCTGTATTTCAGATTCAGATGGAAAATTTGGTTATTCCAATGTTTGGAACCATATAACAATACATCTTTCAAAAATGACCCATTCAGATAAAGATGGCGTAGTCCTGTTGTTGGAAAGAAATCCTTAGGTATCTGAGTTGTTTAATTACAATATTTGCAAATTTCAGATTTGTCTTTTATTAAGCTTTCTGAAGTTTATGGAGTGCTTGAGACCATATGAGTACAAAATATATCAATTTGTCCCTTGTCTAAAATCGTAGATATTCTAATAGCAATTTCTTTCAACATTAAGTACACTGTATTCATTTGAACAAGGACTATGCTTAGTAAAGAGAGCTGTTTGGGAAGTAGTAGTTAGTACAGAAGGTTTATTAGACACCCATGAAAGTGAAGACATGATGCAGCTGTGATCCCATCCCAAGAAATAGGATAGGAATGTGAGTAACTGTAGCCCTCATGAGGCATCACAGCAGGCTATTTCAAATTGAAACAGTAGATATAGGAGGAGGAGAGCTCAAACAGAAACATGGATCTTTTCCACAAGACAAATAATCATCACAAAAAAAGTAATCGAAATTCTGATTTTCTAATGAAAGAGATATGCGACAGAAAATTGTTAGCCCAGCCAAAAACAACAATAAGAAATAGCTCTTTTGACTAGAGGGAAAGTGGGAGGAAATTTTCTCTAGGAAAATTCTTTCAGGTCTCTACAGCTGATTGCAAGTCCAAAAAGGTTCTGAGATGAATGGAAGATTTTTTTTTTTTTAGTTGAAATATCTTTTGACATTTTCCCAAAGCTCATTATAACGTAGCTGTATATTTGTATTATGCAGAAGTTCTTAAGTCAAAGCATGTAACTGGTTTCATTGCCCATGAGCCTGTGTTTAAGTGCTTGCTGGATCAGACCCAGAGGCCTTTGTTAGTACCATTCTCCTACTCAGTAGGTTTCTGCTAAATAATATGCAGTTGGAGCATAAATACGCATTTATTTCCACTGCAATTATGGACAACTCTCTATAACATGTTTGTTTCCTTATGATTTGCTGGTAAGTTAGTCAGTGTTTTGTAGCTGTTTGGTAAGATTAGTGCAGTATCAGTAGATTACCTCATAGCACAAAGAGGGACACTGATTTGCCGGATATACTAAAAGTTACACAGCAGTCTATATGTTTATAAACCTTAACATTCTGCTGCAGAAGAGAATGGTATAATACGTCTTTTCTATTAATTTTCATCTTTGAGATTGAGAACAGTGTAACTGTGGAAGTTATTCTTATATCATGAGTTAATTATGGCCAGCATATGTATTTTGATTCTATCCTTATCTGCTGAGGTTTTGTTTTTATTTAAATGCTCATAAGTAAAACAGGCCTTTCAGCACTTTTCTATTACAGCTTTCTGTTTTACTCAGAAAGATTAGCCGCAAGGCTGCTGTGTAACTTTTTAATGGTTTTGTTTTTTCTTTTGAAGTGAATGCATTTTTATAACAGCAGAAGTGTTTGAGTTGGATGTATTTTGATGAAAAAAAAGAGAGAATTGCAAGATGATTGTTGTTTGTATTGCTTTTTAAATCTATGTCAGAAGTCTGAGCTCCCAATTCAAGTGGTGGGTACATCATCACAGCAATCAGATATGTGACTGGAATGCATATGGGTATATCAGGCTAGTAAAAATCTCTTGCCAAACTGAACAGCTGTTGTAGTAGAGGTGCAACCACATGTGCTTCAGTAGGGTAAACATCATAGAAGCAGCATTACTTGCGAGTCTGTACAGCTAATGTCAGAACCTTGTGTCACTACATTTCCAAGGCTACCAAAGTTTGTCACTGGTGAGATAAACAGTTCCAGTTCGTATGGGAGGCCTCTCCCATTATGGAGTTCATTTGCGCACAGCAAGGTTAGTGGATTGTGCTTCCATTGAATTTAATGCCCAATTGGACTTGCAAGTCTATCTTGTTTTGCTGTTGCTCTGTTTTCTACCCCTAAGGAAGAATACATCACGTGGAAGAACATTGCAAGATTATAGAATAACAGAATAGTTGAGATATGTTGCTGGAAAACAGAAATAGTTGGAAGAGACAACTGGAGATCGCCTGATCCAACCTGCTGCTCAAGCAGAGTCAACTACAGCGAGTAGCTCAGGATGTGTCAAGTCTGATTTTGAGTATCTCCAGGGATGGAGACACCACAGCCTCTCTTGGCAATATGTTCAACCACCCACACAGAGAAATAGTGTTTTCCTATGGTCAGATGGAATTGTATTTCAGTTTGTGCCTATTGCCTCTTGTCCTATAAGTGGGCACCACTGAGAAGTGTCTGTCTGTCTCTTCTTTATTATACCTTCCGATCAGATATTTCTAAAGACTAATAAGATCTCTCTGAACCTTCTCTCAGCCTATCCTCATATGAAAGATGTTGCAATCTTTGTAGCTCTTTGGTGGACTTGATCCATTAAGTCCCCTCTGTATGGGGGAGCCCAGCACTCTGCCTTATTGCTTGTAAAAACCGACTCCATCTAGACATCCGTTGCGATGATAAGAAGTTAAGTCATCCTTAATTGTAGAATGATACAGGCTGGAAGGGACCTCTGGAGGTCACCTGAGCCAACTGTGTTGTGCCTCCTTTACATTCAAGATTCAGTTTCAAAACCAGATCCAGATTTCAAGTAATCTGAAACCACAGTTTGGCAATTAAGAGAGTATTGGCTTGGATGCTAATCTAATAAATTCCCACGCTTCTCTCCTCCCCAGTCACTTTCTGCACTGTCAATGTAGAAAGGTAAGATCTTTCTATGGAGTAGAAACCTAATTTTAAGGCCTCTGATTTCCTTCTAAATAAGCCCTCACTGATTTCCTTCTAAATAAACCCTCATACTTGTCCTGCGTCTCATACAAAGTCAGGAAAACTCATGCTTCTAGGAGCTAGCTGAGTTAGGGAGGTAGACAATTTTCTCCATCTATTAGCAAATTATTTAACCCAGGCCTTAAACACTTCTGAAAGAACTGCATTTTTGGATGATGCCCACGCAAGTTGTAAGGTGGCTGGACTGCTAGGATCAAACTTACTTTCACCCTTTTCTGAGGTCGATGCTTGCCACTCTTCCTAGGCAAGTATTCATCATTTCAGTTTTCCCATCTCTAAATCTGGAATATGAATTGCAATATTTACTTATTGAGTGTATGATGAAGGATTATAATAGTATGAAGTGTAATTTTTTTCATTTATTTAAATATCAGCATGCAAGTCAGTTAATGCAAAAATGGTGCAAAAATGGTATACTTGCAAGATTAAAATGCTTTTTCTTTTTGTATTTTAGCTAGTTCCTCTCATGCAAAAAAAACATCAGTCTCCAAGTCCTCTGCATCACCATCTCCTTCGTCCACATCATCTCATCCCAAAGTCTCTAAGGAGACATCCAGCAAATCAGTCACATCAGGGACTCCCAGGGGCAAGAAAAAACCTGGGAAGCAGTCAGCCCCACGACCAGCACCAGATGGGGCTGCTGCTTCTCCCTCAGGTGCCACAGCCAACAGATTGGAATTGAAGGCAGAAAAATCTGAGCCTGAGCAGCCTTCCATAGTGATTTCTGAAACTGAGGACATAGACCAGCAGAGCAAACTAGTTGTCCCCCCTCCTCCCACTGTGGCCCCTCCACCACCTCCACCTCCACCTCCTCTTCCTGCTGGAGTCAATCAGGCCAGTGTCTCAGATGCACAAGCCACATCAGACAGCTGCAGACCAGGGCCATTTGTTGCTGGATCAGATTATAAACCTCCTGTCCAGACTGAACATGGCACAGATGAGAACCTGAGCAGTACAGCCCTAGACAACAGTACAGATGCTGGGGAAGAGGACGTGGAAAGGTAAGACTGTATTGGTGTCACTGATAAATAGTAGGCCTCACTGCTAAGAAAGGGAAGTTTCTAGTGTTAAGTTGATGTAAGGGATGTTCAAAGCACAGGGGGATCTCTTATTTCCTTTGCTGGCTGGTCCTGAGAAGAAACTCTGTGCATTTCTTAGCAGTCCATGGCAGTGCTGCATCCCAACTCAACTTCTTCCTTAAAAACATCTTTGTGCCATTCACCTGTGATACCTAATGTTTCTCCAGAGTGTGATTTGTCATAACCTGCTTCTTACATTGTTGCCTGGCTTAATATGACCACTGGAGTCAATAACTCAGCTAGGCAGCAGGTAACACTTTATTCTCTATCATAAAGGCAAACAAGAGTTGAGGCTGAATTACAAGGGGTTTACTTTCATTGTGGATATGTGGACTTTTTTTGTGGATTGTAAATCTCACTACTAAAACTCTCAATTGTAGAGGAAATTTAGCTGGATTTACTCACAACCTTTAAAATGACTTTTCAGGGCTTTGGTTAGTAGACACATGGTTTGTCAGTGCCTAAGTCTGACATACCATAAAATCAAATTAAGGGCAAGGTCATAATTATGTTTTTTAAACAAAATAGTTGGCAGCAAAAGAAGCAAATGTCTTCTTAAACTGTCTTTTCCTTGCCACAAGAACCAGAATCTTTCATAACAACCCAGGAGGGTTTAGCTTAGATGCCAGTGGCCTAAAATTTCCCTGAATAGTGAAACTTGCTCGTGTGTGTGTGTGTGTGCCAGTATTACATTCCTGTGCTGGCTTCTTTTCCCCTTGCTCTGCCCTTCATTTACATACAGTATTTTCCCAAGACAGCACTCTAGTGCTGATTTCCATGTGCAAGAGTGATGGAAATGAACATTTTGGAGTCAACAGCAATAAAACTGTGTTTGCAATAAGTAGAATGCAATAAGTAGAATCATGCTTACAGGATAGAGAGCTTTAAACTCCCTTCTATCCTGAGACTCAGTCCTCTGACCACCAGCTACTCTTATTAGCTACTCTTTTGTTCTTGCTAGCTGCTGTGTACTGTTGGTCCCATTCCTCAAAAGGTAAATCAAAACACTGATTTCTTTTCTTAAGCTTTGCAGCTCATCATTTCAGATTGTTGAGGGAGAGAAAGAAGTCAGTTTGAATAAAGGGCTTTCGTTTTCATACTTGCCTGTACAGTTTGTCTCCCTGTTGTGTTCCATGCTTCCACTAATGTAACACTAATGTTTGCTTACGAATTAATGGTTTGGCAACCAGAGAAGACGAAGAGGAGGAGACATCAAACCAAACACATGCTGAACCAGGGGAGGAGGCTTCAGAAGCTGCAGCCACTCCTGAGAGTGAAAGCAACAGAGACAGCCACAGCAGTGACTCAGACTCTGATGGGCCCATACTCTACACTGATGATGATGATGACGATGAAGATGATAATGGGACTGCTGAAAGTAAGGCTCTGACAAGAAGGGTGTACTGGGAAGGAGTGGCTGCCCTAGAGAATACCTAGTACATGTATTTGAGCTGGGCTGGGTCAGAAGTCCTATTAAGCTGCTGTGATTTGAGCTGGGCTGGGTCAGAAGTCCTACTAAGCTGCTGTGATTGCATCCAGATTGATAAAAGGAGCTCTCTACTTGTGTGTAGTTCAAAGACTTATATCCTGCCAGTTTTTGTGCAGCTGTTCTGAAGTTGTAGCCTGCAGGGGAGCAAAGATGCATAAGAGTAATGAATATGGCTACATAAGATAACTTCAGGTGAATTCATGTTTTACCACAACTGAGAAATCAGGGTTCTGGTTCTCCCTTCCTAGACAATTGTGATTAGAAACATGCTGGGACCAATACAGCAGTGGGAGTAGATCAAGCATTTCATGACTGGAAGTAAAGGTCAAAGGAGCAGGTTCATTAAAAAGGGGGGTGGAAAAAGGCCTCCACATTGGGGCCTTAGTGAGCCATTAATTTGGCTTGTCCTTGTCATGAACCTCTATCCTTAAAGTACCTTTGATTTTACAGTGTGAATTTGAGCTGAACTGCACTAGAGATCAGTTACCTGTGTGAGGGTAATGAGGTTGTTTTGACATCTCTTTGCTGCCGGTGGGAATTGCTGAGTCCGGAGCATCCAGATGGCTCCGTGTCAGGTAACCACCATCCAGGCTGCAGGTTACAGAGGAGGTCCCTCCTTTGGGAGGACTAGTTCTCATTAAGCACTGATACCACAGCTTCTGGGAGCCCCTGCAGGAGCCCCAGGGCAGGGTTCAGGGATGAGCATAGGTCGTGGTGGATGACACAGGAAACCCACCAGTCCTCAGCCAGCTTCCCTATCTGTAAGTCATGTGTTCCTCTGATCAGAATGCTTCAAGCATTGCAGCATCTTTGCAGAAAGAACAAATCACAGTGGATTACATCTAACTTTATAGTTTAGAAATTTTAGCTTGGTTCAGGGCTGTATCACCACCCTAATTTGGCAGACATCCTGCTGTTGCTGAAAGGGGTTGTCCTGCCTAATTTCTGCTCCCAATGATGCATTTTTCTCTTAGGTCAACACTCATTCCTACTTTTTGATGGTGGCTGCTGTTGAGATGGTTTTCAGCTGAATCAGTTTTCTGATCCAGCACCACAGCAGCTGCATCAACACTATCACTCCAGCAAAGAAGGTGGGGACAACAAAGAGAGAAGGTCAACAAAGCCCCATCCCCTGCAGTGTGACCTTGTGCTAGAGTACAATAGGAGTCAAACCATGGCTTGACAGCCTTGCCCACAGCCACTGAGGAGGGTTTACTGTGCTTAGCTAAGAAAGGTTGAACACAAAAGTGCTGTGTCTGATTTCTCTGTATGCAAAGGGGATGAGGGAGAATGAAATTTCATTTGCTTGGCTGCTGGTCAGGTGGAAGATAAAGAGCAACATAGCTCAAAAGAGTGAAGTCTTCTGCAGTTCTGCCTTGGGTTTGAATATGAACTGAAAATTAATGTATTCAGGCAGCAGTGCAGTTTCTTATGAGAAGTGAGATGGGAGCTTCTGGTCTTACCAAACTGCCTTGCATCATAAAAAGCCCACTAACATAGAGCATATGCAGTACCTTCAGTTAGAATATAAAGAGAAAAGGGAAGGACTAAAATTCATGAAAAACATACCTGTTTCCATAGCTGGCTGAAACTATTACCGAGAAAATTCAATAGCTGTTGTCTCTATTGTATCTGTTTTGTAGATAAACAGATTGCCTCAGCACCTGGGGCTTCATGCTTAGAATACTTTGCAAGCACAAAGAGCACTTTCTAAAAGATATCTTTTAATTTATGAATTAGTCAATGTAAAAGATGAAAAGCATTACACAAGAACTAAATTAAATTGAAAGAATTAAATTGAAAAAAGGTAGAAAGAGAAGAATTAAAGAAAAGACGGGAGAGTGAGAATAATTCATTTAAGATTTAAGAAAAAAAGTAGTAGTTTGCTGATGATATAAGATAGGCAAATAAATCAGCCTGTAATATATCAAATTTCAAAGACACAGAAGTGCAGATTTGTCATTTTTAGCCTATCACATCACAGATGTCAAGTAATGCTTGTAAAACTACTCTATACTTTTGGTTGCTAGCTTTTTCATCTAAGTCCTTCATTTTTTATTGTTGTGAACTGAGTTGAAACTATTTTTCTTCTGATGTTAATTAAAATTCTTCTCCTGCATGTGGGAACAAGGCTGCTTTGGGGATGTATTCACGTCCCTACTCCTTAGATCCTTAGATTGTGTCAGTAACCTAAGCATGAATGAACTAGATGTACCCTCCTCCTTCTTTTCTCAGGCTCTTTGGCAAGTAAAATTCGTCGCAGGGATACTCTTGCTATCAAACTTGGCAACAGACCATCCAAGAAAGAATTAGAAGACAAAAACATCTTGCAGCGCACATCTGAAGAGGAGAGGCAGGAAATCAGACATCAGATTGGAACAAAACTAGTGAGGTATCAGTTGCAGTGTAAATGTGGTTTTACTGAGTAGAGATGTAAGAACATAGGGTTCACATTTTAAATTCAGCTTGATACATGCTGCAGGATCTTCATGGTAGAACTGGCTAGAGAACACTATGTTCTTTTCTCACAAAGGTTTCGTTCTTCATGGAATAAATCTAAGAGCCTTTGAAATGTTTAAAAAAAAGAAAAAAAAAAAAGAAGAAAATAAGATGTAGTCCAAAACAACCAATAGGTGGTTCAAGCTTTTCCTCAAAACTGGGTGGTTGGAGCTTGAACTTGTATGTCCCCATGTCAGATGAGAGCTGTAGTTCCTAGCATATACAGTTTATGTTTGTGTCTTTTATCCTGTTGTCCCTCCTCATCCTCCTGCTGCTCTCTAAATGTTTAATTATTCACATACTAGTTTCAAGAAAAAAAAAGTTAACAGGCTTTTTAGACCCGTTTTCAGTGTGCTCACCTCTGAGCCATGGCATACTTCTAACTCCTGTAGGATCAGGATCTTTCTTGACCAGAGAATGTTTCATGAAAACCAACTACTTTTGATTTGTATTTTCCAAGTTTCATTAAAAAATTCTTCACGAATGTTAGTGTGGGTTTTCATAGTTCTCTGAGAATAGACTATGGTATGTCTGGATTTTCACAGACCTGTAATTTTTTTTACTTTTTTCTTTTTTTTTTTTTTTATGCCCAGAAATATTGTTCAGATTTGGAGGATGTTCTGTGTTTGTTAGAGGTTCCCAAATATTTGGTAGTCCAGTCAATACTGTTGCACTACAGAAGTGAAGAAGCCCTATATCAGCACTTAAACATGAACTGAATTATTCTGTGAACTGGATAGCTAGCTATGTAATTTCATTTTATTCCTTAACAGTAAGAGTGATGAATCTATTGTGTAGAATCCATGGGTCATTTTTCTTCTTCTAATAAAGCAGGATGGTTGTTGTTACTGATTTCCTGACCAAATTCCAGCTCTGGTAATCACATCCTGCTTATCTGTCTTCTTTGTGGCTTAAACTGAACAAACTGCTCTTTGATTCCTGTCTAAAACTGTCCTGTGTAGCATTGCTGGTTCTGCAAGAAAGCTGGCACATTCACTGCATATATTATTTTGATGACGGACCATAATACATGTTTCAGGACCTTTCACCAAGTTTGTCTGAGTTACAGTTTCTGAGCTGTGTTCATGTCTGGTATCACAACCAAGTTTAATATGTGTTCTTTTAAAACTCATAGTGTTGTAGTCGGTACCTGGCAGCATAAAGATCTGATTCCAAACCACTGAAACCAAGGGAAATCTTTCTGATAGTTCAGTAAGTTTTGGGTCAAGTCTTAATTTTGGAACTTCCTACAATGTGGGATTGACCAGTTGTTTAAGACCTGTCTGTCCTTTCTTCAAAATCTGAAAATAGCAGACATGTGATGGAAGCTTTCTGCATAATTTGATCTAGTATTTGAGGTGTTAAATGAAAGTCCAGTGTTACAATTCTTTGCCAGTACTCCCCCACTGTGTAATTGAAAACCACTCTCTCCAGAGCTGTGTTTTCCTCACCTGCTTCACTTCAGAGCTCAACTCCCTAGTCCTATGTAATGGCCTGCCACGTGGTTCCTCTGCTTCCACCCATGCCAGCTGGTTTCATGAGGCCAAGGATATTCTGCAGTGAATTGTGTGAAGTTGTGCTAGATGGAGAGGCTGCCTTTCCGGCCTTTCACTATAAGACAGGTGCAAAGTTAGTTTTACTGTCATAATTCCTCTTTCTCTTTTTCAGCCCCAAATGAATTTGCTTCATGAGAAACACCTTTTAAGATGTATTACAACTAAAAAGTTGCTGTTTAGATCTGATTTTAAATCAGTTGCTTACTTTATTCTCACAGGAGACTTAGCCAGAGGCCTACGACTGAAGAGCTAGAGCAAAGAAATATCCTAAAGCGTAAGTATTTTGTGCAAATTTAAACTTTTATTTACTCAGAAAATGAGCACAACATATGTTGGACTCATACAGAAGCCTCATCATTGTTACTCTGTTGTTAGTGTCCTAATGGGACAGAAATTATTCTCTAGAAAATAACATGTCAACGCTAGACCTGTATTTTAACCTGTCATGTCAGGTATGAGAATTGCATATATTCCAGATGCCAAATTTTGCTGGTCACAATCCCACTTGAAGCTGGTTCCAAAGACCAAGAATGAATTGGATACTCCCTAGAAGTTCTAGGCTATTCCACCTAATTGCTAGGAGGCGGAATAGGGAGTATCGGGAGGAGGTGGGAAATAGGAAAGGTGAAGTAGAAAGAGGAAGTATGCAGTGTTGAGGGGAAGATGAATAGGTATATGCCAGCCACGTGAGCGAGTCAGCCTTCATATCTCCTCTTCACATAAATGTATTTGTCTTCGTCCATCCTGAAACCTGCACAGGATATTCTCACTGAGTATCTTCCTGCTAATGAAATCCTTCCTCAATGTCCTTGATGAAAAATTTGAACCCATAATTCAAATAGCCTGGGGCAGAGGAATGAAGAATGTTGGATGTATACCCAGTATACCTACTCTCTAATTTATTTACATTGCTTTTGTTCTTAAGCTGGCAGTCTTTATAGAGGAGGCATTTTTTTCTCTTCCTTCATGAATGTGTTCATAATATGTGTGTTACCTAAACAAATACATTAAGAACTGCCATGGCAAGTTCCTTCTAGGCCTATGTCCTTTCAGCAAAAGTGGCTAGTAGTTGATGCTAGAAGTATGAGAAATAAACAATAGAAATATTTCCAAGGAAGCAAATTCACTTGGAAACCTTTCACATATAGCAGCAAAAGCCCAAATTCATCTATTATTAAGGTATAAAACCTTTTCACATTGATGTAGCTGAAAGAGCTGTGTTGTTATCATTTCCAGCAACTGTTCAGTAAAAATGGAGTTCATCACCTTGTGCACAACATACTGGTGGAGGAAAAGGAAATAGGTCTTTACCTGGCAAAATCCATAGATTAATGGCAGTGTCACCTGCTGAGGCTATCAAATTAAGAGGAAGTAACAGTTACTGGCTTTCAGGCAACCATTCATGCTAATTAAATCCTGTTGCTGTTGTCTGATCTCTCAAAAGCCAAATAACAGCCAAATATTAGTCAAAATGGCTATTAGCCACATATCAGTCAAGAGAGGGAAGTTACAGCTCAGGCACTATGGTGCACTGGAGTGATTTCAAGAGACTGCTGTCCAAAACACAATCCAAATAGACGTTCTGTGGGCATGATTTCTGAACCTATATATCACATAGTCTTAATAAGGATAAAATGTTGAAACATGAATCTGTTTTCTATGATAAACAGCGTATGCTGGACCATGTAACAGTAGTAATTCCAAGACATGTTTGGTGGTCATGGCTGCAGCCACTCATCTGGGAACACCAGATGGGTTTCCCTGTTACAATCCTTAGATAGCTAATCTGTAGATAGCTAATATAGTAACATACCTGTAATATATTTAAAATAACCTTTGCCATTTACTACTTTTGCAATAAGTAGCTCAAAATTTGAATGTAGTTAATAGATTTCTTCTCCTGTTTCATCTTGCTTATTTTATGCTTTTGGCAGCACTTTGCACTCAGTCATCTATAACTGCTGCTCCTTTGAGTCTGTCCTAAAGGAGCAAAGGAGAACAAAGAAAAATAATTGTGGAAAACCAGAATTATTATAAATTACAAAAAATAGCAAAATAATTACTGAGAACTTGCAAAATTCAAGTCCCCCAGTTTTCTGCTCATTACTGAGATACAGAATATTTTGAATTGCGTACTTTTAAAAAGTAAAAAAAAAAAAAACACAGTGTTTTGGTGACAGTCTAACTCAAAGCCCTTTGACAGAACAAGTTCTCTCATCTCCTAAAGCATATGTGTATTTAGCATAATTATTACATTCCCTTCCTGTGGATCATTTGAAGATGTTTACATCTTTTAGATGCCTGTGTTGTTGTAGGCAACTTTTGTGAATAAGTTTGGATTTGGGTTTCGTAAAGCTTTATTTCTTCCATTTTAAGCAGTGGATGGGGAGAAGAGATTATATTTTTGCATATATGGAAACTACAGCTAAAGGAAATTAATGTTTTGCTATTATTTATCAGACTTTGAGGTTAAAGTAAGTGGCAAAGATCCAAATATTTACTTTAGAACTTAGTCCAGCCCAAATCTTTGAAGAGGTCCAGAAAAAAGTCACTTACATTTTTAATTTCCAGTTAAAGTGAGGAAATACCTGTTAAAAGAATATTGTTTTGATAATATGTCCAGATATTATCTCCAGGTAAAGCACCAGTTACTGAAAATCCTGTGACTGAATCTAATCACTAGGCTGATTTCTATGAAAACAATTTTAGATAAAAGTATCTAGACTTCTGATTATTCTTACACTAAAACAAAAAGCTTGGGCATTTGAAGATGAATAGATAAAGTCCCATGATTTTAACACAGACAAGTTTTTTGTGTACTGGCTTTGAGCTAGCAGTATTGTCTTTTGACAAACTTTCTACTCTTCTGGGAATTTCAGATTAGGGTAATTGTACTTTTTTTTATGCACCTGTGAAGGACAGTGAACTTCTCAGACTGTACACCTTCAGGCTTCTCAATATTAGCTTAGTAGAAAACATGGTTTAGCTCTTGGTGCTTGTTAAGGAATATTAATGATTATCTTTGCAAAATGAGAAAGGGAACTTCTTTATGCATTGCATAGCATTCCAAGAGGCAAGTATTTTGTTTGTCTTTTCTTTTTCTTTCCCCAGCAAGCCTACAGAGAAGTCTAAACATAGTTAATCCCCACAGGGACGCAGTGGAAAGTTCAGTTTTACACTGCTGGAGTACTTTCTGGTTAAAAAAAATAGCCCTAAGGCAGAGCAATTTCCTTTTCTCTTTCTCCCCTTCTGCTATGAAACAAATGTCCGTCAGAAGTAGATGAGGACCATAGTTAACACAGCAAAACTTGCAGAAGCAATGATAGTAGAGATGCCAGGGAAACTATTTGTTGCTATTTGCTTTGGTTGTTGGATTTTTTGACTCCAAGAACATGATAAGTGCTACTAAATAAAACTCTGTTAGCTAGGAGCCAAATCCTGGTTTGACCTGTGTGCTCATGCAGCTCCTAGGGCTCCTGCAAGCAAAGCGAGAGCACTCAGCTGGTCTATTGCCAGTACAGCAGCAGGAGGACATCTGAGGAGAGGACTGTGCTGGGAATGCTCTGTTTTTGTTTTCTTTCTCCTCATCGTACAGATTAGATCTGCTTTTAAGGTGGAACACATTCAGAAATGTGTTTCTGTGCATTAATGTTTTCCTGTTTCGGCAAGTCAGTTCATACCTGCAGCTAATATTTGGCAACCTGGGTGGAATTTTCCACAAAGGAGCAAAGAGCGCCAGTCCCATTATTTTTAGCACAACACATGTTCTTAAATCACTACAGCAACTTTCAAAACTTTTACCTTAAAAGAGCAAAAATACCTTATAGGTATTATTGTTGGGAACAACTTGTACTAGGGCAGTGTTTCTCTAGCACCCAACTTAACACTTTATTCAGCAGCTTGGAGATTTGGAGGTTTGAAATAGGGATTCTAGGCAGAGTGGTCACTGCCATAAACCCAGGCCCAGTCTGCCACATTCAGATAAAGAATATTTGAAATTTATCTTACAGAAAATTGACAAATATCAGCTGTTAGAATATTGCCAAAATCAGATTCAGGTTACTAAGAGCAGCGACCAGATTTCAGTCCCTTTTCTTTAGCTCTTCAGTTTTATTTCTCAAAATTAAAATTTTTCAGTATATAAACCATGGCCTTTGTCCTGCCCTTTCATGCGGTTCATGCCCAT